CTGTAGACTACTCGTATATAATATTAAAGTTCTTCAATAAATATATATATAGATTATTAAGATACTTTAAAGCATCATATAGACAGTTTTGTTGCGTTATTCTCTTCAATAATTTAATTTAATAATTTTGCAAGTTTTACCCTGGCCTAGTTGCTCTAAGCTCTTGTGGGCTTACTCTCATGTCCATCACTTAGGTAACCAATTTATCATGTTGCATGAACGGTGGATGCAATGTTTGAGTATTCGTGTAATTGAGCTAATAGGTGAAGCAAGAGGCAGATGCTCCGAGCTGCTGTTGTTGTTGCTGGCCGGCACTTGAGCCCGTGGCGAATGGCAACAATTGCAACTAATTGGGGCAGATGCAGCTGAATCGCATCTAAGCTGCACTAAGTACACTCAGAAAATTGAATATTAATGCTGCAGCCAGGGCACTCGAGGAGGGCGAGCGAGAAGGCTGGGCCAGCAAATTGCAACGCATTGCATGCAACAAATTATGGAACATGCCAACTCTCAGCTCGCCATAGCCAAATGCAATGAAGCGAACCACTCTTAGCTGTCTCCTGTCTCTCTCTCTTTCTCTCTCTCGCCCTGATCACTCTGCTTAGGCCATTCGATATGCCACACACACTAAAACACTAACACACACAAGACGCTGCCAGATGCCGCTCGCATTTGCTTTCTTGCTGCGAGTTCAAAGAGCTCAAAGGACATTTCATTAGCAGTTTTTGCATCTATTCGGTTCGTTGCCGAGCGTTGAAAATTCCGTTTCGTCACAAGCGATTTGCTCTTTTCACAGTTTCCGCTGCGCAAGCGCAACAGCCCAGCCCAAAGAGACAAGCAGTGTATGTGTGTGTGTGTGAGTGTTCCCTCTGTATAAATGCTGCCTCGCTCGGCACGCTAAATGTCTGTCAACCTCGTAAATCCTGTTTGAAATTAAGTGCGTCGTTGCGTGCGTTTGGGTGTAACGAATTTCTTATTTGATTTTCTACAATGTGTTAACTTTTGTCGGAAATACAAATTCAGGAATTGGCAACGCTTTTAGATTTTCAATCGCTACTATTTGGTTGTGCAAAGTCACCCCACCCACAGACACGAGCTGGTATGGGGCTGCAGAGTTGCCAGATCAGTTGAGTGCGACAACACGGGGCTGCCATCCCGTTCGGCTGGAAGAGCGACTCCTCTCAGCAAAAGTCCTGCTCTGCTACTCTCTGAGAGGAGCTGTCGCCTATGACAGGGAGCTCCGAATTTTCCGCATGCTTTTACTGTGTGTTTCCGGTATGTAGGTGATAGTGAAGATACACCCTCCACAAGAAAAGATCGCGAATACCCCGAAGATGAGGGCGGGCGTATTACTCTTGATAACGAATGGAAATACAGCAACTATCGCTAACGCAAATATCCACGAGCACGTCGAAACAATCGCAACACAAATGGGCAGCGCTCGCTCCGAGAACATCTCGATCATAACGACCCAGACGAGCGGCCCGACTCCCAGGCTGTGTCCAGCGCTGTACATGAGGCTGGCAGAGGCTATTAGCCACTTGGAGTCGGAATCCCTTAGGAATTGAAAATTCAGCGCCAACAAAATGGAGGCCAGCAGCATCATGAGGCCCGACGCAAAGAGCCAGAGCTTGCGCTCGCTCTTCTGAATGACCAATGCGGTCACATACGCGGCGACCACTTGGGCAATAGCAAAGATAACTGCGCACAGCTCTATGGATGCCTTGTAGTTGTCTTCCCTGAACATTAGCTTTATGTAGAAGACATACGCGTTGAAGCCCGTGAATTGCTGGAACAGAATCAGTCCGATCACCGCCAACAGGCTCCTCATTGTAGCCTTCTCGCGCAGTGCTTCCTTGGTGCTGTAGCTATCCGGCTGGTATCTGTTCTTTATCGCCATCATTTCCCGTTCGATGTTGGCATCGGGGCCGCGCAGCCACTGCAGGATGGCCTGAGCCTTTTCGTCCCTGTTCCGTTGGACCAGGTACACCGGCGACTCGGGCACCCACATGAGGATAGCGGCATAGACCAGTGGCAGCAGGCCGCACGCAAAGTTGTACGCCTGAAAGTCCTGGCACGAGCCCAGGATGTAGGCGTACAGGATGCCATGGACCAGCATCAGGTGAAAAAAGCAGTTCAGCATTCCGCGCATGTGCAGCTCGGCCACCTCGTTGTTGTATATGGTGACGGCCACGCCGATGCCGCCGTTGCCCATTCCAATCAGCAATCGGCCGATGTACATCATGCTCAGGTGCGCAGCGCCAATGACGAGGGCCCAGCCAATGATGCTCGGCAGCACCATGCCCAGCATGATAGGCTTCCTGCCGAACGAGCTGATCATGATGCCCACGGGCACGCACATGATGGCGGCGCCCACTGCGATAACCGAGCATATGAATGCCCAGTGCATGGGACTCGGCTGGAACACGTAAGTCGCACGGATGAACTTTGTGCTCTCGATGGGCCCGGACCAAGCCAGGGAAACGCCAACAATGAATCCACCGAACGAAGCCATCAGAGCGACCAATATAGATTTAGCCACGACCATTCTCTACTGTGTTCAAATGCTTAAATGAATTGCAAATTGGAAGCAGCCATCATTGGGCCTGCAAGTGTCAAGTAAATATCTGAATATGAATTAGGCGAGCAACGAAACTGATCCGAATTTATATTGTGAAGTTCGGGAATAAGTCATAGGCGTCGTCAATCGGGCTACTTCAATTCAGAAATTCTCCACTCGACTGCCCAAAACTGCTCAGCTCCCTCGCTCTCCGTCGCCCTTCCTCTCTCTGTATGTGAGTAGAGTGCGTATTTATCTATCCATAAATTATAGCCATATTAATAGAAAATTTGCCTGTCTTTTGAGTATTATTTCAATGCATTAGAGGGGATCAAAAGGGGCAAGGAAAACCATGTGCCCTCACACCTAGCTAATTGTGCACGTTGGGCTGGCTAAGCCCGGTCGCAACACAAATATATTGCTTTAGCCTAAAAAAAACAATAACAGCTTGGCAGTTGTTGTGTTGTCCTTGCGAGGACATGTGTGTATCTCTCTGTGAGTCTGTGTGTGTGTGTGTGTGTGTGTGGCATACAGGTATCTGGCTGACTGCACAGCATCAATTGTAAAAGGATTATGGCTTAATTTTAAATGCGCATTCATTTGCACTCGCCTGCTGCATCAGCTCCTGCCGCTCCTGCGGCTGCTGCTGCTGTTGCTCCTTTTGCAGCTCGTCAAGCTCCTCCTCAGCTGTCTCTCTCGCTCTTTAAGCGGATTTCTGACTGCCGCCTGGTTTTTTTTTTCTCATTAGTTTTCAAATAGCTGCATTAGCAGAGCGCGCTGCAAGGATCTGGGCCATACAAAAGCCAGTGAATTGCTCAATTTGTGGCATTAAGCCCCCTTCTCGGCATTTGTTTTGGCCAGCACTTTGTACCCTTGGCGCATATTGTTTGGCCTTGTTTGTTATTGCAGCAGTTTCTCTTCTTTCTCTTCTTTTTTCGCTCTCTATCATGTGTTGACCTTTTATTTGTTCGCCCATCTTTATTTTTTACCACGAGCTCTAAGCACGTCTCTAAGTATTTTCGAACTGCGTCATTGTGCAGCTATTGTGCTGGAGGATCAGATGAACAATGTGAGCCACGAAGACAGCATTCAGAGTCCCAACTGAAATAATATATTTCCAGACTAATTGAAGGCTAAGTAAATGTACTGATGATTCATTTATTTGTATATGTGGAGTGTTTACTCAATATAAATAAATGTATATTAACATTTAGATTAAAGAAGTGACAGCATAACACTCATTACGATCACCAACAGCTGAGTCTGTTTTGGTAAAGGAGTCTGGAAAGAGTCTCTCAAGACATCGATTTTATTCCGATTTAGATATTATGTTATACTCTGATAAGTATATAAACTTATTAAATGTAAACACACTTATTATTCACATCTAGCTGTAAGTTAATCTTAAATATTTTGTGTGTTACTAGGGCTAAAGTCCTTAAATTTATTTATTGGACTCTGCTTTATTCTATTTTTAATAAAATAAAGATTAATTATGTGTAAATTAAGCAAGTATTTTTTAAATTACAATAACAAAATCTCTTTCAAAACTCTTGCTAAAAGTTTCTAAGCCTGTGTCACTATTCAATTGAGAGAGTTTATCCAAAGAATTATTAATAAATCAATAGCAGAAGGAAATGATCAAATATAATTTAAGCATTAAGATCTGAGTTTTCTTAACACCGTATGCCAATAGGCCTCAGATTATATTTTCGATCTTTGGTTGTCAACATATTAATATCAATATCACATATAACAAATATAGTCTTTTATTTTATAAATGAGTATACAAATAATCAGTATTTATTTGAAATATCTAAAAATAATATTATCATTCACCTGAAGGAATTAGTGCAAAGAACTTAACTTCTCTTTTCTCTTATTATTTTTGTTTTAATCGACTATAGAGATTCTGTAAGCTAGACAACAGTTCTGACAAGAGAACTACTTAAGATCGTCTCTATTAAAACTTTGGAGTTCGGCTTAATTTGTGCTGGCCCGCAGCATTCAGTCGAGTTGTGGGTGCAGCCCACATATCATGCCCTGAATGCGCTCCCTAAGCAGCTCACATAAATTACGTGCCCAGTAAAAATCTCAGGGAAAGAGTGAGACAGTGAGAGAGAGAGTGACTAGGAGAGAGAGGGTGGAGAGGTGCTTCTCCATTCACTGCGTAGCCCTGGTTACAGCATTTGTTTCTGTTGTTCTCTGTCTCTGGCAGCGACAATATTTCTTAGCCAATTTTGGGATTTTTTTCCCGTTTGGAAAGCGACGCTGAAAATCCGCTTAAAAAAAAGGAGCAAACGCGCTGCAGAAGACGCGAGCAAAAAAGAAGAAGAAAAACGCTGAATTAAAATGCAACAAAGTTGCGAGAGGTGTAAGAGAAGCATGTGGGAAGGCGGAGCAGGGGAATGGGTAGTGGGTGGGGGGGGGGGCACGCGGTGAGGAAAGCGTCAGGCACATTTTTCTTTGCAGTTCAGTCACAGTTTTCGGTAGCTGCTGCAGCTCTCGTTTTTCTGCTGGCACTTTAGGCAAATTTACTACAGCCATAGAGAGTGAGAGAGAGAGAGAAAGAGAGATAGAGTGAGTGAGACGGAGGGAGAGCGTGAGCTTGTGCGAGCGAGAAGGAGGTAGAAAAACTGAAACACATGTCACAGATTTGTTTCACTTTCGGAAGCACTTAAGCACTCAGCGAATTTGTTTGAAAAAAAAGGAGAGAAAGAAACAACGACCGAAACTCTGGAGCTCTGGCTACTTCTTCAATGCCAGCGCATTGTTCGGTTTTATTTTTGAAATAAATATGCATGGCTAAAGGGAAGTGTGTGAGCGCGCGTGTGTGTGTGTGTGTGTGTGTGCTATGGGGTTGTAGTTGTGGGGTAGGCCGCCCAAAGAACAAATTGATGATATGCCCCTTTGACACTTGAGTCCATTATTTATGTGCCGGCTTGCGATTATTTTCACATATGCTGTGCCCCCTCCTATCCGCATGCCCCATGCGCTCCTCCCTGTCCCGCTACCCCCACTGACTCACTGCATGTGTCTGGTCTTTGGTCTCAGCGGATTTCACTTCCATTTCGCTCAACAATTCGATGCAGCAATCAGCTGAGCAGGCAGTTCGCTGAGTGCCTCGTTTGGACCAGGTTAACAGACGCACACACACACATATTTAGCACTTTGTTTTAAATACCTTGCCTTACGTTTATTTCTTTCATTTGGCTTACGTTGTTTAAAGCGCATTTTCAGCTTAACGGTAACACGTGACATATGAATTATTGTGCGGCCTCCTGACTAAGCATTCGCCTTTTACCGATTTTACGGCTTTAGTCATCAAATATTAAAAGGAAAATCCCAATTTGGGCACAGCTTAAAAAATACCGTATACGGAAACAAAAGCTTCTGTACTCATAAACTGTATCAAAATGCAGGAATATCATTTTAAGGGAATTTAATTAATATAATAAAACAAT